AAGGAACGTTTGGGGCTCTCTGCTGGAACTGCTACCTCCCCGACCCGACCACGGATAAGCGGGAGAAGATGGATGGATGGATGGGATCGATAAAGTATCTATCTATCTATCCACCTAAAGTGCTCTGATTCCTAAACGTTAAGAGTGTGTGGTGTACAGTAGGTCATGTCCTTTATGGAACAATAATCTCCTCTTAACTGTGAGCAAACCATTTACCAACAAAGCCTGGGAGGACAAAGGTAATACAACTCTTCAGGACATTCATCGGGAGGATGATATGCTTGACTTTCAGAAACTGCTCTCTCAATACAATGTTGAATCTCTTTTCTTTGACTTTAACATAAGGTCTGCCTGTAAAGCCTATGGGGTTCCATTTGGGTCAGATTTGAAAGACCACCCTATTCTGAGTTGGGTGCAGAGTGCTCCTTAACGAGTCATTTATATATAACAATCTTAACTCTCAGAAAGATATGCCTACATAAGGGCATGAAAGCATGGGATAGGGAAATATCCAATTTGGGACAAGAATCGGATTGGGATGCACTTAAAGTTACGGGTGCTTCAAAAAACCCAAAACATTAGTATTCTGGATATGTCTGAAATGGTCATAGAGCAGATAGAATGGGATTGGTACCTGACCCTCATTGTTCATGTTAGATGGAGGGTAGGATAGGATCAATCTAAATGTTTTTTGCAACCTGTTTTGTATTATGTTGTGATTTGTTGGTTGATGGTGTTGCAATACAAAATGTATGATAAAAAAAAGCTGCATTTAACTTTCATCTTCAATGTGTTAACCCAAACATCATCTTAATGAATTGCTGGATATATGAGATGGATCACAGCAGTTGTAGCTATTATTAGATTCAAAGTTATGTGGAGCTTCTTCCTTTGTGATACCGTGTAACCTGCTGGTGTAGTAAACATTTGTTTTGATCAGACCTTCCATGTGTAGAGCGTACCTGGTTACTGAGGCTGACAGACAGCTTGTTGAAGGACACAGGGTGAGGACAGTCGGCTCGGAGGAACACCTTCAGCTGGACAGGCTGGTCCACGTGGAAACTGGGAGAGTGGAACCTGGCCTTACACTGGACTGGAGTCAGGAGGAGAGACAACATCCTCTCAGCACAATCATTATACCAGATGTTTGGAAAGAAAAGATATCGCACTACTTTTTGGGAATGTGTGCCACACTAAAATAGTTTTAGGAGATTTATTATCGACCTCAGGCAATTGTTTGCAGTTTGTATTACATTATAATGATCTTAAAGCAGTGGTTTCTTAAGCAATAGCAGACATTTGGGGTTCCTGTGAGTGGTTGGTTGAGTGTACTCACTGAATGGGATATAATCCTGCACTTCGATAGTTAATTCATTGGATCCGGCCAGGGCCATGCGGTCGTTCCACAGCGAGCGGGCTGCAGTGACGGAGGAGGGGTCACACTCCGGCTCAGCCTCAGGGACCTCGTTCTGGAACAAAGACTAGGATCAACAAGTGCTCTGCTGTGTGGGCCACAGAATTCAATGAGCAGAGTACTGGTAAACAAGGGTGATAAACGGGGGGTTATTTCAAAGGCAAGGAAAACAGAAATCACAAGCGTATACAAGTGTTCAGCCACACTGTATGACACCATGTATTCTGCATCCATTCTCAGTTGGTTTGATCCTAAACAGAGCAAGTAATAAACCACTTGAACTATTTAGATGGCTCCACAGATCCTATCAATCAATCAATCAATCAATCAATCAATCAGTAAGAGCACTGTCTCTGACTTTCTATCTCCTCAACCTCGCATACTAGATACTGTGCCAGTCTCCATTCTTTAGGTTCTTTTTTAGAGACATGTAAACAGTTTAAGGCTTTACATACTCACATACCTATTGGTAGGAAATAGCTACAATTATTCATTGACAGTGACAATTTAACTTTACAATAACTTGTATGACGGTTTCACATGATATTCCTGTAACGGCTAACTTCAAAAGTCAACTTTATTGTCAATCTTTCCGTTTGTGTATACAGACAGAGAGATCTAAATACAAGCGTAATGATAGAATGAGGTCCACAGTTCCTGCATGCTCACAGCCTCCCCCCACCGCAACATGGTGCTGTGTCTCAGTGCCTGAATGAGCATGTTGTGTTGAGCTCTTCTACTCACCTTCAGGACTTTGAGGAGGTTCTTCTCAATCCTCAACTTCTGTTCCTCCTTCAAGGTTGAAGCTGCAAGAGAGAATGACTCAACCATCACCTCTTCCACCTAATGCCATTACATTGCTGTCAGGTCCTTTTCAGACTCAGAATACTTTATCGTCCATGAAATGGACATCAAATGGACATTTGTCTCAGGCACTGGCAAATGAAAACAACCTTTACTGTACACAGTACAACATTGTGTGAGTGGTATGTTCTTCCACTGGCTTGTGGTCCACTTAAATATCAGTTGTATTATAAAATAATGAGTTGAATATAAATTAAAATGAGGTGATGGTGGTTCTTTTGTTCTAAATACATGTGTATTCTATGTTTTCAGAGATAATTCTCCAGGGATCTCAACTTCTTCTGATCAACTAAATCAATCATTCATGATTCCACAGGACCAAGAATGACTTCTTTTGTCATTTACTTGTTCTTGAAAAATGTTCTTCTGTTTTTTCACTAATGACATGGCATGTGCTTGTATGTCCCACATTGTACCTGTGGTTTTACAGTTTCATTTGAATGTTCTCCTGTATCCTATCTCCTCGATCTTCTTGTCTTTCTTCTTTACTAATGATTGTGATGTATTGTGCTCTTAGGGTGCCTATTATCATCTGGCTGGGGACAACAGCTGGAAATCAGCCATGTTGGCTAAAGCTGCTGTTTTTGTTACAGTTCATTAATGGGGACTGTCCATGAAACCATAAACTAAACTAATAAGATAAAGAAATATCATGATAAATCCTTGTTGTATGATTTACACACATGTTGCATCGCTAAACGTTTCAACCAAAAACAGGTGAGGTTAGAAAAGCCTGGTCAAAATGTGCATTAGCTTCATGGCAGCAGAGATGAACAACGCCTTACCCCGGCCCAGCAGCTCCATGCAGTATATGATGTAGTCTTTAACACTGGCCATCAGATAAGCACAGCGCAGCGCTGTGGTCAGGATGGCGCTCAGGAGGGCCCACCATCGCTCTGTGCGGTAGTCACACATCACATAGTCCAGCAGCCTGCAACACACACACACACACTCAGATGTCTTGCTCACAAACACACGTTAAGGAAACAACCTACCTAGTGCTGTTTGCAAAATACATCTCCAGACTGGCTCATCGCTTACAACCATCCACACGTGCATGCATGGCTATACTTCAGGTGTAGCGTCACTGCAAGCTCTTACTTTAGGGATTTGGTGTAGTCTTTAGCATGGTAGTATTCCTCTCCCATCTGCACCACTACAAAATAAACAAAGTTAAGGTTAAAACAAAACCAGGGCAACAATGTAATGATCAAAAAGGATGCTTTGATGAGCTCACTTTATCAGACTGCATCCACATAATGTGAGAAATGTTCACATGTTACACCAAAGCATCAGCATGTCTACCTGATCAGTGAATGCACTGATGAACTCACAACAGCAGATACCAGCAGTCAAATGAAGACACTTCAATGACTGGAGGCACTGAGGGAGCTCCATGATACTCACTGAGATGACTCTTCATCCGGGGGCACTTGTACTTCTTAAACTGGGCGACAGCATTACTGAGGAGTGCTATAATCAGCTCCTATTGGGCAGAGACATGGAGGAGCATCTTCAATACAGCAGTAGCACATAATGAATCTGAGCTGTGGTGACAAAGATACAATATGTGTATTTTTGAAGACAGAGGAGCCTTTTGCTCCCTAGGTTTCTCCTAATGAAAACATTGCTACTACCATACTTTCTACAATCAAAGCACAACACTGACCACCTTTCAATCATTTTAAACTTAGTAACTCACACAGAATTTCAAGTTTTGTTGTAAGAATTCTGTGTATTGGTATAAAAAGCCACTGTGTGCAGGATTTCAGAAATGTTACTTTGGCGCTCCCCAGTGCAAAAAAGAAACAAGATGCTTTTGAACTAACATTGTTGCAGAAAGTGCACACATTTCACAGGGATTGAAACACCACCAGAAGATGCTAAAATGACATATAGTCAGATAGATAGATAGACAGACAGATAGTGCCAGTGGTTTGAAATGTTCTAACTGAAGGCATGAAGAATAGGGAAGCAGTGAGCTACATTATGGCCACAGCTGTGTGCTCTTACAGAGTGTGGCACATCTCTCTCTTTCATCTGCTGGGCCAGAATCCCCGTCTTCTCCTTCTCGGCATCTGGAGGATCAATACCTGGAGATACAAAAAAGCAGGAGCCATTAGCCGTAAAATTCTAACACAGTGTGTTTGGTGTGTGTGTGTGTGTGTGTGTATGTGTGTGTACGTACTCTGGTGTCCTTGTCTCCATGCTCTCTGGCCGTAGAAGTCCAGTCCCCCACTCTGGGTGTCCACTGGTTCAGGGCTGGGAAGACTCGCCTGGAACAACCAGTTTCAAAGTTTCAAGAAAACTTTATTGTCATAAGCAATTCAAATCTTAATCTCAATTTTCACACAGCTATTTCTGTCACTCCATATGTTCAACATGATGTATCCATGACAGCTGGCTGTGTGCAGCAGGTATGAACCCTCTGATGGGCAGTCACAGCAGCTGTCTCACCTGACAGAGCTGCTGGGCCAGCTGTTTGCGGTCCTGGCTGTAACAGGCCGCCTGCTGGTAGTAGAAGCCAGGGTTCTGGGTCTGGATTGCTGTCAGACCCAGCTTTATGGCTTCATCAAAGAGCTCGCCAAACGACTGGAACCTGTGGAAAGCAAAGAGGAACAAACAGACAGGGTTAGGGTTAAGACATACAGGCTCCCAGTGGAGAGAGACGTATTCAGATGTTTTACTTCAGTGAAAGTACCCATACCAAATGTTACGAAGACAACAAGTTTATGTCCAACAATCAAAATGTAAGTGAAAGTACAGAAGTTTTGGCATCAAACTATACTTATTACCAGGGTAAAAGTATCTTATGCATAATGACCCATTTCAGAATCATATTAAATGACTGGATAATGATTACTGGTGCATTAACCTGTTCATCACAGCTGGGAAATGTGGAGCTAATGTTAATTACTTAATAGACGCTTTCACACCAAGTACTTTGCTGTACTTAGTTCCCAGTACTTAGTTCTGATGAACTTAGTTCATCAGAACTAAAGAGCAGATTCGTGGGGAAGGATTAGGCAAATGAAGCCGCTGACGTCACTTCTTCTTCTGCTGCTTGGGTTTACTCCACCGCGCCCATGTTTGTTTTTGTGTTGCCATAAGTTAGTCTCTCTGCGTTTGTGCGCTGGGCTAATGCTAATAATGCTTATGCCAGCAAATAAAATGGCGGCTTCACAAAACTTTTCCGAGTTTCACGGGGCGTGGTTTGCAATCCGCCCAGCCAATCAGAAATGGGAACCTTTTTCTCCCATGAAAGTACCTGCTCTCTAGCAGGGACTAAAAAGGGGATGAAAAGGTTCTCATGAACTAAGTTCTAGTTCCGGATTTTTTTGGTGTGAACGCAAAATGTCAAGAACTATCGGAACTATACTGGGAAAAGTACTCCGGTGTGAAAGCGCCTTATGAGACACTAAAAAATGAAATTGCCCAGATTTTTTTTAAATAACATTATATTGGTAGGTAAGTGATTCAAACATATGATTATTCCGGGAGCTCGTGCATATTCAGATGTCCTTGTAGTTGTTTTATCAGTGCTTTTATTTTGTATAAACAACAACAGGACTTCCGGTTGTGTTCTGGATAACTTCACACTTCACAGAGCTTGATTAGGGTTAGTCCCATCGCCATCCCACACACCCAGCACGAATTGTGGAAAGTGAAATCTTTCCGGGAAAAGAGTGAGTGTGGGAATGTGTTATTGGGAGGTAAATAAACACACTTACAGCACATAAAAAAACACCAAGGCTGGGGCATCCTCAGCAACGTGCGTAACTCCTGCTTTATTGTTTAAAGGTCCCATGTCATGCTTTTCTGGTTATTACTCGTCCCCTTGTGTGTTATGAAGCTTTTTCTGCATGTAAACGGTCTGCAGATTCACAAACCCTCAAAGTACACCCTGTAGCGAGTAAAACTCTAAAGGCCCTGACGCACCAAGCAGTCACCAGAGAATTCGCCGACGCCGACTGTTGCGTCGCCGTGTTCTCCTGCGTCTTGGCCATGTGTCGCACTGGAACACACCGCAAAGACGGAGCTCCAACAAGCCGTTAAGGACAGAGAGTGAATACACATACTATACAGAGATGCTGTATGAGAAACCAATGTGAGTTTGGAAAATTAAACAATATAAATCTATTCTAGTAGACCTCAACAATGGAATTATGATCAGTAGAAATGGCCATGACATGGGACCTTTAAGAAAGATTTGTTTTAAATGCAGCAAGGTAGATAGAACCTATTTATTCAATGTTTAGTTTCTATCATTTCTAATAAAGTATATTCCAGTATGTATCCTCACTGTTTAGACATCCATGCAGAGTGCTCGAAGGCCAGCTCAGCGCTGCCGATCTTCTTCTTGCACAGGTCGATGTGCTTCCTGAACTGAGCGATGGCATCTAGAGGAGTGTTGTGCTGGAAACACAGGCGGCAGATCTGAAGAGAGAGAGACAAAAAAGGTGATTAACGCTCAGTAACAAAAGACTTCCAACTGGTTTGGGCTGAATCCTTAACTGTTCCAATCATGAGACACGAAGCCCCCAAGTTGAATCACATTCTTTGTGTCAAATCATTTTCCTACAGACGGTCCAAAACGTACCTTATAGTTGATGAATCCAGCCATAGTTTTGATCTCCAACATGTTGGTCTCGTGGGCCCGGAGCTCATGAACCAGACTGTATGCAGTTCTGTAGTACCTAAACACACAAACAATCATTCAACACTTTGTTTGAGGGCTTGGAGTCTGTCGTATTACATGTGCAATACAAACCTCACAATTAATAAGAGAAAGAGGGACAGCTAGGATAAACCATACAGGTCAAACAATTAAGATATATATTAGCCAGGATCCTTTCAAATTGTATTTTAAGTAGGAAGCCACAGTTCCTTTTATATTTTCAGTTAAGACAACAAACAGGGAAACTGGATTTGTTTGAATTCAACCCGCCTTTGATAAGTGTGATGTCTCATCGATTCCTATCCGGAACTGATCGCAACCAACACCAAAGAACAGTCCATCATTCATTTATAGGCTCAGACTTACTTGAGAGCATTCTGGGTGTCCTGTTTCAGCTCACTGAGGAAGGCGATTTTAAACTGGTGTCTGACAAACAGCAGCTGGGAACATCAAAGGGGGACAAAAGAGAAACAAGGACTCTGTGAGGAGCGGGCTTTTCAGAACAGCTCAGTGTGGTGCAGTGATGATGTATATTTGCTGTCCGACCCAGAAGTTAGCATCACTTTAAGTGAAGGGCTCCCTTCGCGATGGGATTTTTCCATTGTATATTGCAGAAAATAAGCTCTGTGGCAGACACATGCTTATGAAACTTACACCTATAGAGTTCATCAGGAGAGTCTCCACATATTAAATAACTACTTTTATCATTTTTGAAGCAAAAATGCAATAAAAAGCAGTAAAAAGCTTTTGCAATGTCCTAAATTAACTACATCATGCTAAGCTAAAGGAGGCTAATGTTTGGCATGATGACGTTCAGTAGTCTTACAGTATTTAGGCACTTCTTCACAGCCACTGTTTTTTAAGACATATAGAAGCTTTGAAAATACAACAGCCGGGTAATTACTGGTGTATTTTATGAAAATCTCTTCAGCTTGTGTTTACCACAGACCTTATTTTAGGCATCTTACTATAAAGAGCGTTCAATACAGTTGACTTTGAGCAGGGAACTAGATGAAAAAATATGCTAACCTGTAGAAACTGTAGTTACATCTGCTCTAGTTGGGTTGCACTGTTACCTGATGTGTTGTCTTGTTGAGGAACTCTTTATGGGATTTGACTCGGCGGATCTCAGTGTAGTAGTATGTCTGAGAGTGTTCATAGAAAGCATTCTCCAACCTGCAGAATTACAGGGACGATCACATTAACACACACATCATCTGGAAGAAATGTTCCCGTTTTGTATTTGCTGCACCTGTTAGACATGCATCTCCTTGTGTGAAGACTGCACAAAGGTTAATGGACTATTGGTTTCACAATATGAATAAGAATGCATTTAGAAAATATATTTACATCACTGTGTGGCAAATGTTTGCAAAATTGAAAATCCACGAATGCATTGTTTCCCACTGTTATGGTTTTCTCAGCTAAGCTCTTCAATTAAAAACACCATTTCCATTGAATTCAAGTGGAGAGCCATTTGGATGATTTCTCATACATTGAAAAATATGTATTCATATGGCATTAGTGAGATGGCAACTACCTTATGATGTAGCCCACTAAGTGGTCGGTGTGTGGCAGCACGAACAGACTCTTGCCGGACAGATCACAGGCGTTACAAAGAGTCGCTGCCCTCTCTGAAGCCACCAGGTCCTCTCCTGGGCAGGAACACAAGGGGTGTAACATAGATGAGAAGCTGTCAAGTTGCTGTGCAGGCTGTGGCTCAGGAAGTAGAGTGGTCAGTGGTTCAACCCCTGGCTCCTGTGGTTAATATTTGAGCATGGGCAAGATACTAAACCCCAAATAGATCCCTAAGGCATGGCTAGCAGTGTGTGGGCAAATGCTCTCTTGTGGTGCAAAAGAGCTTTGATTGGTCTCAAAGATATACAAGTGTTCTATAAGTACAGCGTAGAAATGCAGTCATTTAACATTAGCCGCCTAATGTCTAAAGCTTCATCAGTTATAATGATATGATTCACAAGAGGTTATGCTGAGTTTTGAGATCATTACAGAGCTGATCAAATGTTTGAGTTTTTCAGAACACATTGGAGCCTCGTTAATGAAATGTACCAGACATTATTGTACTGCTCCCGCCAGAAAGGAAAGCAGGGAAACACAATATTTACCCTACCATTGCATTGGAAAAAACAAGGCAACATATTCAATTGAACCATTTCAAGTGCACTCTATTCCATGTATTCTGTGTTTGCTGTTGTTTGCTGTTGTGCTAGCTTCTCCCCTTTCCCTTTCTACCTCTCCTGTGCTCTGCACTCTACTAGCAGAGGCTGTCGTTGCCAATATTAGCTGCTCTTTCTGACAATGTTGATCTGAAGAATGGCCATGCAGGCTGGCATTGAGGCTGATGGGAGAAGCAGTGACTTAAAGCAGGAAAGAGAAAAAGAGCAAAAGTAGGTATGTTTACCTGGAGGTAGAGGAGTTTTCTTCTGGATCAGAACTACAGCCACCTTGGTGTTCCTGCCCTGAAGGCTGGTCCTAAAGACAACACAGATGACTGCAGATAAATGTGCTGCTGTTATGTTTCTGCTAGGGGTGTGAAGAGATGACCTGCAGGATAGTGTCCATTCCCAATGCTTTTCTTGTACACTATATCCCAGGTTTTAAAGCTATAAGTCATTGAATAAAGTGGAATTACAAACATCTTTAACAATGCTACAACAACAGTCTTCTGGCAGAGATGCATTACCTAGCATTTATCCAAAGTTATTACTTTGTCAACATAATAAGTGTAAGTGGATGATGGTAAGCCTGATCAAACAGAAGCCTGAGGCATCAACCAGCACTCTAACCCTAGTCACCCATTAACATCCTTTCTAAAAACTAAAATAATGTTCACCTACCTTACAATCTCCACTTTAGTGGCACATTCAGATTGTTTCTCTTTCCATGTTGGGTCGTCCCAGTCCAGCTCGTAGAACAGAACAACCAGAGCTGGTACCAGGTTCAGGTGTTTATGCATCCATCCTGTTTTCAGGATGCCTTTAGGGATGTACCACTCATAGGATGTCCGCTACACAGACAGACAGAGAACAACTGGTAAAGATACATACTGAACAGACTGCAGCGCTTATCTCACATGGGGACTTCACAACTGGATTTATTTGGTGTTTTTCCAACATCTTAGTTAAAACTGAAACACTTAGGCCCCGGCCACACGAGGACGATAACGGTCGTATCTGCTACAGTTCACTATCAGATAGACGGTTCGGCCACACGAGGCCGACATGGAAACGCAGAAAACGATAACGGGTCCCAAGGTGGGTAGATCTGCAAACGAAACGCTCTGGGGGGGCAAACGGCTCCGTGTTTACGCCTATACGATCATGTCCTGATAACGTTGAAGCAATAGCCCCGCCTCTCCTGCTCAGAGATCAGCTGCCGGGCTGTCAGAAGAGGGGGAGGAAAAGAGAGGCTCCGTTTTTTATTCTTATTTTATTATATAGAGTCGTTATTCATTTGTTTTAAAGCTCAATGAATAACAAAGAAGACCTTTGACCGGCACTTTTCTAATTTTGTCCGGAAGATTTCAACTTTAACGGACGGCGAAAAAAAATCTAACTGAAACTCTGCTGCACGGCCTCCTCGTCCCTTGGAAGAGGCGGAGAGGTGGGTGTTTGTTTGTCATCTGCTGGTGGACTAACCGGAGAGATTTAGAGTAGGAGCAAACGCTTGCCCCGGGGAGGGAGAAAAAGAGCCAGACCGTCCATAGCGGAGAATAAACAGAAGGGCGACCATGACAACCATGAGCGGGAAGTCTTCTTCACTGCTTTTGTGGCAGTAGTACAGCGCCACTTACAGGCCCGGCATATGTACTACAGCGTCTCCAGCGCTTTCGAGCGGTCTCGTGTGAACGGACCATAGACTGTATATATAAATGGACGTAGGGTCAGTGACGTCACCCATAGGATTCTGCAGAGTTGCCGAGAAGCCCTTATTAGGCGGAGTCGGCCACTAACGGCTCGACACTGACGTCAGAGTTCAACTCCCGCCAACTGCCTGTTGCGTGTGGACGGAAGACTTTTTTGATATCAATTTCGGTCCGTTTGCGTTATTGTCCTCGTGTGGCTCCAGCCTAAGTTCATTGATACAAAAATGATCTCCTACTGTTTTGATAGTAAATTCATAATTTAAGTATTTTCGATAAAGGAAATAATTTGTTTTTTGCACCCTTAATCTTAACACAGATGGAGATGATTCGCAAGTAAGCAAATAAATGTTATACTGTAAGTTGAGTTTGTTGGGATATTTTATTGTGTTTTTAAGTACATGGATTACAGAATCCAAAACAGGATTATTGCCCAGCACGTTTACACATACAATAAATTAGATTTTGTATATAACGATGCATACACAAACACAGTAAGAGGAATTTGTTTGTAAAATAAGGAAAAAAACTCTTATCTCCATCTACTGCTCACCTTAGTGCGACATTTGGGGTATTCATGGTCTCCTGGGAGGACTTTGAAAGAGATGGGAACTCTGTCAGCTCGCCGGTTGACGCAGAAGGCGTCCCAGATGGCCCGGTGCACGGCATTATAAACCACATCCAGACCGGTTAGAGCCACGAAGGCCATGGGACGACAACATAGCTCTGGAGGAAGCTCCCACTGGGAACCTGCCATCATGATGGGTTATCAATGGATCCACCTACACAGGACAAAACAACATTACTGTAAAAGAAAAATATTTTATGAGATGATCTTACTGTACTGAATACAAAGCTACAGCATGTTAGAAATGTCTATTAAATGAGCTTAGAGATGTTCTAAAAATAATTGGGATGTTTTTCAGTTTATATATTTAAGGGATAACAAGTAGTTATTACATAATATACTTTTTTTTCCAAATAAAAAAAAGCGTTATTGTCAATTGCACACAGCTCCACCAACAACGCAACATACAGAAAACACAATTTTTTACAAAAAAAGGGGGGGTACAATTATCAAAAAGGGAATTTCAAAACAAAGTTGTCATTGAACCACCAACATGAACAGCAGATCACCCTGCAGGTCACAAGACTTAAAGCTTAGCATTAGCTGAGCTAAGAGCTAGGTAGCTGCTAATGGTGACAGGTGAATTGTTTACATCCTGTTAAACCCAAGCTCACTGGGATTTACAAATTATATGACACGGACACTTATATTAGCTAATCAAAATTAGAGTGACACATTTTTTTTGTTGGCAAAGTAAATACAGAAGCCGTTAGGAAGAAAAGCGGAAGTGGAATAACCCGACTCGGCTAACGCTACTAGCCTCAATAAAAACGATACATCAAACAACATGACGTTACCTCAGGTGCATTACTTCAAAGGACTGGTAATGGGGTTAGGTACAGCTAACTCGGTAGAGTTAGCTAGCTGCACTTCATAGGCGGTTGGGATGTGCTGTTGTTCAAAGTAAACGCTAGCAAGAGAGGTTAGCTGTGGGTGAGGTTAAAGTGTAACTGGCAAATGCCCGTTTAGCTTCAGGCCTCCTGGCCTAGTTCCACCCAGGTCCCAACGATGGGCAACGTCCCACGGCTATGTCAATCACCGACTTGCCACATTAGACAGAAGCACAAAATAATAGTTAGCTCATCTAGAAGCTGTTGATGAAGCAACAACAACTAGCTTGTTAGCTATCGGTGACGGACCTTTAATAACACCTCCGGTTCTGCTTTTCAAAATAAAGCACTCACTGACAAACGTCATTATTTGCAGATGACAGTCAGTACATTATCTTTAAACAAAGAAGGCAGTGAAAAACGACTCAAAATAATTTGGAGAATAATTAAGACTAATAATGATCAAAATAATATTCCTCCAGCTCGACACAGCTTCCATGAAGAATACAAATCAATCTAAACCAGAAATATAGAGAATATAGGCCTAATAACAATAAATAATAAAATATACATGCATAACCTATATAAGTAAAAATGTGGATATTGTATTGCGATATAAAACAACAGCAAATATGTAAAAACATGTACAGTAGTATTGCAATGTATGGTTTATGTGATTTAGTTTTGATAACATATGAGATGTGTTTCATGTTTATCAGTTATTTTTAAATTATTATGACATAGTATTGCAGAGTTTTGATAATTGCACAAGTTATTGTAAGTAAAGTCCGTATTTCACAGTTTGGTGTGGGTTTATGGCTGCTTAGGGGGGGAGTCCAATGGCCAGTCTGTTGACAGTGTGATGCTCTGTGGGAGGAGTGAAACAGTTTGGCCCCAGGCAGAAATGACTTCCTGTGGGGCTCTGTGCTGCAGCTTGGTGCCCTGTGTGGAGGAGTATTGCACTGAATGTTTGAGCACCACTTCATGCAAGACATTTCCCAAGATGACATGTTGCAGCGCCTTAAAAGGTGAAGATGTTGTATCTGCTTGAGGTGCAGCAGAACAACTCAGGTCCTGCACGTTTTGTATATCTTCTGAGCAGGGAAGAAGAAGGGCAGTGCTGTCTGGCTGCTAAAAAATGGGAGGAAAAACCATAAATTATCCAGGAGGTGTGTTATGTTGGTTGTAAAGAAAAAGATTGGTCTAATAAATAGTTGTTGAGAAATCCGTTTGAGATCTAGAATTAGTGTTTTCAGGGATTCAAAGTTCTTGTCAAGAAGGATTACATGAGGTACAGAAAAACGGATAGATACAATTAAAAACAAAAAAGATTCAGCTCTGGCATATGCACACATTGGTTCCAGGTTCAAACTAAACCCTATCACTGATAGGGTTCTCAGGAGAAATTAAATAACACTTGCAGTGTACTTCTGATAACAATATTTGTTTTCAAACAACTAAAAAATATACTAAAATTATTAAAATATATCAATCATAACAAATAACTGTACCTCGCTGCATTAAAAACACCTGAACAATTATCCGACCACGGTAGATGCCTGGTTTTCATATTCACATCAGTGTTATTCTCTTGAAGTTTTAAGTATTGTATATGTTGTTCTTAAAGTTTGCCATTTTACACAAGTAATTGTTTGTATATTGTCCTTGTGTTTTGTATAACATTGTGATTTTTAACATTATTTAGGTAAATGGGTTTTTTGCCTCTTGCACATTTTGTTATCTGTTATGTTTGCGTTTTTTTTTTTATTGTGCAAAACCCATTTAATTGAAAAACACTCTATTTATCTAAATAATTAACTTGATACATGTTTTGTGTTCTGGATATAGTTAGAATGGGGGAATAAAGGAGGGAATAAAACAGCACATGAGGCTGCGTGGAGCTCAGCTGACTCTCTGCATAAACAAATGCTACATTTAGGTCTGCAGCAGGAGTATCCTATGGAGCAGCCCGACAGATGCCCTGCAGCTTCCTGTGCTCCTGCCCTGCTCAGCAGCACAGCCCCTGCTCCAGAGGACATGAGCAGGCTGCAGCATGGGACAGCATCCGAGGAGCGGGCGGTGCCCCTGCCTGTCTGAAGGTGAGTCTCCACGCTACATCTCTCTGTTTGGTGCTCTAATAGGTAGCAGTTGTTTTAATATAGCCGACTGTCTGATTAGCTATTTAACCTTCAGATAAGGTTAGATAAGGACTCCCTGTATGCGACCCTTTGGCTGGTCGCAGTTCTAGAGATGTAGATGACGATGTGGTTTTGGTGTAGTTGGACAGGGTGGGGAGGATCATGCAGTGAATCAGCGTTACTGTAGGTGATGGTGCTTTACGGTGTACCATAAACCCCGACTGTGTCCTGCATGAAAAGTGACAAGCCAAACTCCATTGAGAAAATCTCGCACTTTGACGGTTCTACCTATAGGCAGTGGCGGACTGGCCATCGGGACGTTCTGGTGTTGTGTCAAATTATGCACCCCCGTCGTGAAATGATTTTTAGTCCGCTTGCCTATAGGTAGGCACAATTAAAAAAAAAATACTAAACCCAAAATGTTTCAGAAAAAGGTAGAGATGATTTAATACAATAATATCCTCTTACGTTAAAAGTTTGGAAATGTTTCGCATTATTATTCCTGCGGCGGAACACACTGCGCCTCACTTGCCATTGGCAAACTGCGTGTTACCTTGTTAAAGGTAATGTGAATTACACTTGGGAATGGTGGTAATTGGCTTTTTGCGTGAGCCGAACTAAAGCAGCGCCAAATGATTTAATTTAAAAATATTCATAGGCTACCTTGTTTTAGACCTTGGTAGCTGTCGAACGTAAACCCGCTGCAGATTGAATATTTTTCGAATGACGTCTGGTGAGTGCGCCTTGGACTCAGCTATAATTAAAGAGCAGCGGCACGTTGGGAGAGGAGTGGCTGTAGGTGAAGAGGACTGAAATACTTCCATTAACTGTGGACAGGCTTGTATTCAGTGCTGAGAACATGGACAGAATAGCATGTTCTGGAATGTAGAGGAGTCGCTTCAGTCGGGGGGAAGAGAGCTCAGTTCCCAGGCCTCCCACGGGACGTTATTCAAATATTCATCAGATGGAGCTCATGTCAGTGCTGATGGAGTAACGTGGAGCGGAAGTCACGCACACAAGTTTCGCTAGAGCTGTCTCCGTCTCTGCTCACTGCGGCTATAGAGTTGATAGGGAGTTGTGCGTGGAAAAGTGATATTTAACATGACAAAAACGTAGGCTATGTAAGGAAATCTTCCACACCAAACACATTAATCTCTAAATAAAGAAATATACTTATGGCTATCTTAGACTTAAAGGGGACCTATCATGCAAAATGTACTTTTGGATGTCTTTTATAGATATATGTCCCCGGCAGGGAAGTGCACAGACATTTTGGGGGGCGGCTGCTCAAGTGAGAAAAAGAGCACTTCCCATAATCATTTATAAAAAAATGTTTTAAAACAAAAAGTTAAATATAGTTGCACATCTCTGACTTACTGACCGTTTATTTGTAATACCCTCACACTCAAGCAATTGTTTAATACTCAACAGAATTCTACAAAAATAATCAGCAAACACAGAGACAATGGTCTTCTTTAGTGTTCACTAAGCACAAGAGCAGACAATAAACTAGTCAAATTAATAGTTATTAAATGAGCAGCCAACAATACAAATTGTGAAGTTACTGTTTAAGGACATTGCAGGCAAACATATCGGTTTTTCATGTACTTGTTATTTTGGTCTATTTTGCTTCCATGTTTTCTTTCACTCTAATGGAAATAAAACTAGTAACTGCAAATTAGGTGTTAACTATAGTTAATGGGCATACAATCAACATGATAAATTGCCTTAGCTAAACCTGGAGCTAACTTATCCATGAGCTAGTAGCCTATACCTCAGTTAACTATATTTGTTATTGTCTTTTAGCTAATTAGCTGTACACTCGAGGCACTGGCAGTTTAGTAATTTGTTAATCACCTTCAAAATAAGCCAAGAAAAACCGGCATAACATGGGACAGTAAAGTGGGAGGTGCTGCTACCTCTCTGTCTGAAGGGACTGATGTCTGCACCGCTGTGCAGGAGACGTGGAGGGAGGGAGAGCTAAGGAACTTCACAGTCTAATCTCCCGACCTGATATTGAAATGTTGTATTCAATCAATATATTTTTGGAAAGGCAAACTTTGCGCAAACAGCAGTAGATATATTCATTTATAAAAAAGAAAAAAAGGGGGAAAAAAGGGCACTTTGTCTGGAGGAAGAAAAGGGGCAGGGGCTCAAGCCCACTTTGATGTCTATGTGTGCGTGTCTGGTCCCCGGTGTGTAACGGCCCGTACACAGCGGCGTGCGTTGAAAGCTTCACCATTCACTTTGAATGGGGTGACGTCACTTTTCGCCGAACTGCATTGTGGGAAGCAAAGCGGAGCTTTGCTGGCGTGGCTCGCTGCAAAGGTTGAGCAATGTTCAACTTTTGAAGCCTCGGCAGAAGCGTCAGCCAATTGAATCATATGCCAGTACAAGCTCTAGCCAATCAAACTGCTGCTTGTGTGTCAGGGGCGGGAGATTCATGTGATTGGTTGTTAGTCGAGTTTCAGACACGCCCGCCGGCAAGCTTCAACGCATGCCGCTGTGTCAGGGAACTCACACAGCGTCAGAAAATAAAACCCTCTCTCTTTTTCTCCGTACCCAAATCTCTAAAAACGGGGGTAGCCTACAACGGAGCTGATCCAGATTTGCATCCGATATGACGTAATATCGGAAATGTGGACCCACGGCACTATCAGAACTTTCTGATAGTGCCGTGGGTCCACATTTCCGATATTACGTCATATCGGATGCAAATCTGGATCAGCTCCGTTGTAGGCTACCCCCGTTTTTAGAGATTTGGGNAGAGAGCTTTAATAAACAAAAGCTGATCAACATAAACATGGCAAGGATATACATGAGTAACACGAGGAAGATAACATACCAAAAACGATCGTGACCAACATGAAGGGAGACTGCTACTTTGTACCAAGGCAGATTCTCAGAGCCATACACATGAGCTGTACACATGCTGCGTTCTGTGCGTAGCTGTGTCTTTAGTTGTAAGCCCAGTGGCGATCTGTTCATCCGTCATATCATACAATAAAGCCATAGAAAAGAATAGGACACAGCATTAAAAGTTATTCTGGGTCTTTGTGTGTAATAACTCGGCTGTGTGGCACGACGAGCGCATTTTGTGTGAGCGATAGAGAGAGTGAACGAGAGAGCGCTAACGTACATAAGGAGTTGTCTCTACAACAAGGAGGAGGAGAGCTCTCTCC